AAGGCATAGTTTTTTAGATGACCATCGTCGGTAGTGTATATATGTGTGAATGTGTGTACGCATGTATATATGTATGTGTATGTGTGTATGTATGTATGTATGTATGTATGTATGTATGTATGTATGTATGTATGTATGTATATGTATTTATGTATGTATGTATGTGTGTATATATGTATGTATGTATGTACATACGCGTACACGTGCAGATCAATTCACAAGTATATAATACTGTTTGGAATGAAATCAGGGCAGTGATAAAGCGATACGATACAGTAAATATTCGTGGATTATTAGTTAAGGGGTGAATAAAATCGAAGGAAAGATTAGAAAGTATATAAGTAATGCGAAAGGATAAAAGTGAACTTGTATAAAACGTGTTTCTATGCTTCGTAGCAAAAAAACTGGATCAAAGACACTGACCGTAGCTGAATTACAAACCTAAATCCAGTGTTTATAGCTTATTTATAGCTTTATAGCCAGTTCATTCAGTTGGAATTGAAGCTAGGGTAAGTTGAAAGCTAAGAGAAGCTCCGAAGTGCTAAACTGAAGTGGGAGAGTGCAAAGGTTGAGGAGACAATACCATTTTGGTGCCAATTTAATCAAGGGCCTTCCTGTCTGAAAGAAGTTCTGTTTTTATTGTTGCTAAATATGCCAGTAGCCTTGAGATTACATTCGATAAGTAGCTTTGCAGTCCATTAGCATGCTCGTGTTGTTGTTTTTGTTTACAATGTAATATTTACAGTGCATAAGCTGCTAAGCCTTTAGCTTTAAGTGCTTTTAATCCACACCCGCTTACCGGTCCAATAGAAGCGCTCCAACGATAAATAATACGAAATTTTTATACCAGGACCACCCGGACTGATCTTGTGGACATATCAGTGATGTTGCTGGGATGTTTCTACATGCAGGGAGCAAGCGAATTTCATAGTTTAACCAGTTGTCATTTCAACTTTAAATCGAACAGATATTTTTCATGCCCAGCCTAAAAGTGGGCGAGGGGACACTTGTCTCCCTGTCCACATGTATCGGCTACACCATTGCGCTGCTACTATTTCCAGTCTTTTCAATATAATATTATTTAATAAGTAACATTTTTGCAATATTTGCCCTGCGGCTTATGTACAAGTAGTCATGCTGGTTATGGCTCTGTATAGCTGGTGAGGTTGCTCATTGATCTCGAAATCGTCATGTTCGTGAAACAGGAAAAGAGCAAACTTGAGTGTGTATTTTGTTGGAATACAATGCAGTAACTGTTTACAGAATGCCCTAAAAAGCCCTTTTGCTATGTAAGAAGAAATTCTGAAAAGGAAGCGATGCAAAAATAACAGTGTTATGATTTTATTGTTATTATTATGGGCCAAAGTCAGGTTCTGGTATAAGCTATGCTCGATGGCTGGGAGCATCCCAGTAACAATCCACGCCGATTGTCTACCGGTGTTCGCGTTTTTAGGACTACGGTTCTAACATTCTGATCGATACTGCTAGGTCTACTGGTACTACTCCTGGGACTAAATCATAAAGGGGTTGTGAGCTCTACAGCAATTTAGGGCAATCATTGCCAATTTAGGGTAATCACTACCAATGCATATTTGGGTTATCAGTGTACTTGGACTCCGGATAAAAATTAAACCGTATGGACGATGGTCCTAGTTTCCAGCACTGAGTTTATTGCAGCTATGCAATGCAAAAACGCATATTGTCGAGGGGTTGTCTCTGTGTGTGTCTGTGTGTGTATGTGTTTGTCTGTGTGTTCGTCTGTAACGAGTTTTCACCTCGAGATTCACAAAAGCTACAGGGTTGAAAATTTGATGACTTAATCTACACATACGTGCGGGCTCGTATCCTTAAAATGGACGCTCAGGTCCACGTGGTTCTCACGTGGGGGCACGTGAAAGTTTTTTTGGCGGGAAACCGGCCCTTGCTAGGAGGCTGGAACTTCATAGAGATGTTCCTTGGCAGCGCCTAATCCAAAGATTATAAACTCAGCTTTCACCCACCTTCAGGTCTCACGTACGCACACGTCAAAGTTTAAACTGGCATCATGCCAACTGCAGATTTAAGCTGACCGGTAAGCTACAGGGAGCTGCAATTTTGCAGCGTTACTTGTCACCTACTGTTGTGCCGTGTAAGTAAATTACTTGTCAGCTGTTCTGTATCTCACGTACGAACACATGAAAATTTCACGCACGCGCTTTTGTAACTTCAGAATTGAACCAACCAGAGGACCTGGACTTTCTGAGCATAGCCGTCGGAAACCCTTTATCAAGTGCACGCAAAAACGACTTACACATCACTTTCGCGTGTCACGCACGTTTCACGTGTACACACGTGAAATTTGACGTAACTCTACAGCCAGAGCGGCTGGAGTGCTGAAACTTTTTGAGCTTTACCCAGAACTTTTTTTGAGCAACTGCGGGCGAAGAAATCATTCACGTAACCACTCACGTACGAACACGTGAAGTTTGATGTAACTCTGAAACGAAGCATCCAGGGCACTGGATCTTCTGGATATGGATTGAGAGTCACTGTAATAATTTCTAACAGTCGTGGTGGCCAGTCCCAATTCTTTTAGCTAGAAGTATCTG